ACGACGACGACGACGACGACGACGACGACGAGAGAGAGAGAGAGAGAGAGAGAGAGAGAGAGAGAGAGGTGCTGCATGCTGAGACAGCACCTGCATGAGAGGCCAGCTAGCCTTTGTCACAGAGAATGGCCCAGCCAATTTCCTGTCATCCTGCTCATTCCGGGAGCTTCTGAGAGGTTCCCTCATGCACACGCACATACACCCCGCTCTCCCCCCTCCTCCTGTCCCCACTTCTTCCCCAGTTTCTGGAGTACCTTGTGGCGTTGCCCGTTAGTGTTCAAATAAAGATCTTGGCTTCCCATGGAGCAGGCACTGTTGAGGGGTCGGGTTGTGCCTCGATCTAGCTGGGACTACAGGGAGAGAAATCAGGAGCTAAGCCCTAGGATTCTGCCCTCTCCAATGTTTTCCATAAGCATGTGCCCATCTCCCAACACACTCCTGGGGAAATTCATCCCCACAGTGCTGAGGACAAAGCACTCTTCATTCAAGCCAGTAGGGGACACCAGGGGAAAGGGAAACATGCAGGGGCAGAGCTCTATTTCTGTCCTGGACAGCAGGAGGCATCACAAGGAATGGGACAGAGCTAAACACCAGAGGAGAAGCCAACCTCTGTGCTATTCACTGGGTGGGGCTGCAAGGAATGGGATTCTCTGTGGAAACTGAGGATTGACTGCCAAGGTTTGGATCTGCTGGGGGAGGGGTTCCCATCAGCCACTGGTTCCCTCAGGACTCTCACTCCTCCATAGTTCTACTCACTTGATGCAAGAGGGTCTCCTCTTTGCCCCTGTCATTCTCCAATTGCTTCTCTGAGCTTAGGTCTAGGGACTGCTCATGGCTCTTCCAGTCACTCTCTAACCATTGACTTGGACTCACGGGGCTTTTCCAAGTGGTCTCTGGCTGGTGCCCTGAGCTCACTGAGTACAGACATTCTCCTTGGCTTCTCCAGTCCCTTTCCAGCTGTTGCATTGGATTCATGTGGCACAAGCACTCCTCTTGGGTTTTCCAGTTGTCTTCTGATCTTTGAGTTTGACTCCTGGAGCGCAGGGTCTCTGCCTGGCTCCTCCAGTCTCTCTCCAGCTGCCTGGTTGGACTCCTGGAGCGCAGGGTCTCTGCCTGGCTCCTCCAGTCCCTCTCTGGCTTCCCAGATGAACTCCTGGGGCGCAGGGTCTCTGCCTGGCTCCTCCAGTCCCTCTCTGGCTTCCCGGATGGACTCCTAGAGCGCAGGGTCTCTGCCTGGCTCCTCCAGTCCCTCTCTGGCTTCCCGGTTGGACTCCTCGGAGCGCAGGGTCTCTGCCTGGCTCCTCCAGTCCCTCTCTGGCTGCCTAGTTGGACTCACGGGGTGCAGTGATTTGCCCCGGCCCTTCTGATCACGCTCTGTGCATTTTCCCAGACTCACAAGGTGGGGTTTCTCCTCTAGGCTCTGTCGCTCACTCGTGCGTTTTCCAGCACTCATAGGGTGCAGGGGCTCTTTTGCATCCTTCCACTTTCTCTCAGTGCTCGTCACTGGACTCACAGGGTGGGTCTCCTTTGGGCTTTTCCAGTTGCTCTCTGTGCGCTTCCCAGGACTCAAGGAGCGCAGGTGCCCCCCTCGGCCAGTCCAACTGTTATCTGAGCTCTTCCTGGGGTTTGTGGGGTGCAGGGAATCCCTCTGGCTTTTCCAGTTACTATCGGTGTGTTTTCCAGGATTCGAGGGCTGAGGAGGCACCCTTTCTCTGTCCACGCACTTGTCTGTACTCACGTGGCACATGGAGTCCACTCGACTCCTCCAGTCTCTCTCCGATCTCCGAGCTGGGCTCACTGAGCGCAGGGCCTCTCCTCGGCGTTTGCCGGGCTGCTCCAGCTGCTGTGGGAGCCTCTTGTTCCCCTAGGGATGAGATCAGAGGAAGGATAAAGGAGTGAGTTCTCTAACGAGCTTGTCCACATCCCTCATGCACATTCAGGGAAAGGAGGCAATTAGCACATGGAGACCATTCAGTTCATAGGTTTACCGATTCCAAGGCTAGAAGGAACCACTATAGAATAACCTAGTCTGACCTCCTGTATAACACGGGCCATAGAACTCTCCCAAAGGATTCCTGTATGAACTAGAGAAGATCTTGTAGAAAAACATCCAATCTTGATTTAAAAATTGACATTGATGGAGAATCCACCATGGCCCATGGTAAATTGTCCCAGTGGTTAATTACCCTCACTGTTAAAAAATTACATGTTATTTCCAGTCTGAATTTGTCTACCTTCAACTTCCAGCTGGATCTTGTTACTGATAGCCTACAAAGGAAGGGGCACTACTGTATGCCAACAGGGCCATTGTATTACAATAGGGGGCAGTAATGCACAGACCTACCTGCAGCACTTAGCTCAGTCCACAGAGGGAATTTTCAAACATCAACATGTCTTATGCTCCAGTAGGGGGCAGTGGCGCACACATGCATCTACCCACACGCAGAGCTGCCTATCCCATGCCTAAAGAAGTGGCCCCTCTCACCCAACCAGTGAAGGAGCAGTGGTCTAATTTTGCAATAGGGACAGAAGTGGGGAGAGAGAAGGATCTGGGAATTAAGTGGAAAGGGAGGAGTGGAGGTGATGATAAGAGAAGACAGAGTTGTGTGGCACAGAGAGAGAATGGGAAAGGCGATGGGGACAAGACGCAGCTTGGGAAGGTGTTTGCTGAAAGGAAGCCAGGGCTGGGCCGTGCCTACTGCTATCTGGCTAAGGAAGGGGCTGGTGATGAGTCCAGCAGCTCACCTCTCTGTACAGGGTGGGGCTGGACTGCCTCCTGCCTAATCGCCCTTCTTTGGTCAGCAGTGGGGTCTTGCCATCCAGCCGGTCCAAGAGGCCATCCTCCAGGGCCTGGAACGCCTCCAGCGTCTCGGACTTCCTAACAACCGCACACAAAGACAATCACAGGTGCTCTTCTGTCTGGGCTTCAAGAGGCCCCCAGCCCAGAGTCCTCACCAGTCCTAGCCTTCACAGGCCACAGTAGGACAGAGATCGTGATACCATATTTCTGAATTTGAGTTCCCAGCTCCATCAGAGTCTAACATGAACTGCTCTGTCTGTGCTCATGCCCGCCTCCCATCCTGAGCTCTTTTCTACATCAACCATCCCCCCCATGCTCTGCACTCCTCAACAACCTGCCTCTCCTCAAACCCAATATATTCCCTATCTCCCCAATGATCCCTAGTCATGCTCTCCACTCCCCATCATGGCTCCTTTCCCCCTCATGTTCTGTACCCCAATAATGCTTTCCACATCCCATCTACCCCTTCTATTTCCCACCCCATCCACCATACTGCCCACTCTGTTTTTACTTCCACTCATGCTTTTTATCCACCATCATCTCTTCTCCCCATCTATACTCTAACACCTTAGACTTGCTCTTCCCTCCATTTCCTCACCCCGCCAGCTATGGGCACTATAACTTTAACACTTTGATCTGGAAGTTCCCAGGAGGCCCCTCACAGAGGGATGGAAGCCCTGCCTCAAGCCCTGTCTACGCTAATCTTTAAACTGAGTTTAAACACGGCTCTCTAACTCAGTGTGAGCACCAATGGGAGGGGCTGACTTGCAGGCACTCAGCAGAGCAGTGGGTGCACACGTACCTCCAAAAACCAGGCTTTCAATGATACCAACCCTGGGGCACCCAAACCCACCCACACCCGGCTCCATGTCTCACCTGCGCTCGTATCCAAAGATCCGCTCCACCTCTGCCCGGCCCGGGCTCCGAGTGCGGGAGCTGCTGCGTTCCTGTTCAAATGCCTCCCTGTGACTGATCCGCTTGGGCTTGGGCAGATCAGCCAACACTGTGTATTCCTGCCGCACCAAGGAGTGTCGCCCCTCGCCGCCGCGCCTCGTGCACCCCAGAGTCCAGTGAACCGATGGAGGAAATGAGATGCCTGCCAGTCCTTACTGGGTCACTGTGTGTTGGCAAGGTGCTGGGGCTGGCTCGTGGAGTGGAGGAGACCCAGGTGGGGTCAGATTTCCGGCGTTCCAGAGAGAAATAACTGCTCTCCATCTGATGCTTTGCCCAGCCATCCCCAGCGCTCTGGCTCACAGGACTGGATTCTGGGAGGGAAACAGAAGATTGCGGTTAGGGCAGCTCCAAGAGGCAGATACATCCCCTCCCTCACACAGGAACAGCGTGGCCAGAACCAGCAGTGGTCAGATCCGATACAAAGTGGATATTGGGATGAGAGCCAGAGACAATCCAGAATGACATGGACAAGACCTAGTATCCTGCAGACACTGCGTTCAGAACTGCAGGTGCCAGGCGGGGCTGAGGAGCACCAGGAACCACAAAGACTCCAAAACCAGAACTGCAGGGACATTAGGTTGAGAACTGCAGGCGAGGCTGAGAAGCACAAGGACACTGGAGCAAAACTGCACAGACCCTGGGCTCTATTATTACTCTTTATCACGTTTATTACAGTAGTGCCTAAGGAGCAGCCGAGACTGGACCCCATTCTGCCAGGCATTGTACAGAGTAAGAGACAATCCCTGCCACAAAGAGGTTACAATCTAAATAGAGCCTTGAACCAGAGACTCCAAGACCAACCCCACATGGAGAACGAGCCACCTATATCCAGAACTATGATCTACGGTGGGAGAAAACCAAACCTGCTTTCCGAGGGGAGATTTCTTTCATGAAGCTCTGGGACTCTGTTCTGCCCCAGGACATGGTCTGACCCCACCTGGGTCTGTCTGACTGCAGGGCTCCAATCTGCACCTCCTTCCTCTGGCCCATGTAGTTCATCGTGTCTTGTTTGTCCGATCCCAAAATGCTGTCCAGCAGCCTGGTCATTTCCCAGTCCTGAGGAATGAAACAGACCACGTCAGTAAAAAGGATGCAGAAAGCTACTGTCCCAGCCTCTTCTGGCAGGAGGTGCTATGGGGAATGATGCAGATGCACGTGATGTGTGGAGCTCACAGCCACTTCAATCCCAGGCTCTTCCAGTAGGAGGCACTGCAGGGAGCAGTACAGACCTGCTAGCTATAGAGAGTGCATCATTACTCCATGGCCAACCTCTATCTTCAGCAAGCATGATAGGGAATGGTGTAGGAATACTAGCTTGGGCGAGCAATGAGTTATTCTTGTCCCAGCCTCAGCCAATAGGGGGTGCTGTGGGGAATGGTCTAAGCACGGGGAATAAATGTGGACTCCCAGCATTAGCTGATGTGCTCTTTAGGGGAGTTTACTTTGTGGGTGTTAAAGGTCCCTTGGGACTGTCCCTATGACATCAACATCTATCCCTCCCCACACCCAATTACCCAGCACTCTGCAGTTCCCCAGAATATCTCAAAACGGGCCTATTTACCCTTTATCTTTGGGTTTCAGCTTGTCTCAGCAGGAGCCCAGGGAAAGTGGTGCTGAGGGGTTAAGGCACAAGGGGAATTAAACAGCCCAATTCAAAAGACAAGATGACCCCATCTCACCCCCGAGAGTGTGAAGCTGATTCCGGTACCGGTGCTGGTGTCGGTGCTGATATCAGTACGGGTGCTGGTTTCTTCATGCTTGCCCTGGGCTCGGCTGCTGAGTTGGGTGTACGCCAAGCTCTCCTGCCAGCTGTGAGGCAGGGAAACACAAACAGCTGGTGGTGACTGTACAGCTGAATATGTTACCGCGGGCAGGCATGGAGAGCTGTGCGAGTGCAGCTCTGCTCAATCGGCCCAGCAGAGATCCAACTCCTCAATCCCCAGAGCAGGGCCAGGCTGGGCAGTGCCAGCGAGGGATCCCCACACGTCGCACGCTGCCAGTGGGCCTCAGCCTGGCTCTGGAGAGGCTGAGGAAGAGGGGAGTCCAGTCGCCATGGCCCATTCAGCCCTTGGCCTCTACTGAGTCTGCCAGTGAGGAGCCTGGCTAGTGCCACCGGTGATGGTGGATTTTCAGAGTTTGTTCCATCTTGCACGACGTGCAGGGATCAATGGTAAGACACCTACCTCTCTTCTCCTATCATGGGATGACAGCAACCCCTCCCCTCCCCTTATTTACCTAGCAGGGATCAGTGTCAGGGAAATGCTGATCCTCCCACGGTGCAATACTCACTCCTCAATCCTGTCCTTGAAGCCCGCACACACATACAGCTCACACTGGGGAGCTAAGATGCACAGGGGGTCCCAAAGTCCACCTGGGTCTGGCCCACTGGTGGCATCACCATGTGGGGCCTCCACAGCATGTTCCTCTGGCACCTGCAGGGAGCAAGGGGAAGTACTGGTGACTCCACCGTTCAAAAGGGCTAGTGGGGAAGTTGCCTTTCTTATCAATCTCATCCTCCTTCCAGAGGACCTTTCATTCCTAGCCAGGACTCTCAGGGCATCTCCCTAACACCAGCCTGCCTCCGGGAGTGCTGGAGCCCCTCACTGTTCCATGATCTCTCACGTTCAAGCTGTTCTTCTCCTTCCTCAGCAGTCCAGTCAGAGGCCTAGCAAGGCCTGGTTGGATGCTGGAGCCGTTACCTTCCATCTCCTGGGGCTGCAGTCTCCCCAAGACAGAGATCAAGTGAGGGAGAAGAGGGATGGGGCACTGAACCCAAGTGAACACTTGAAGGGCCTGGCAGGGGAGAGGGATATCTGGGGTGTCAGGCCAGTGGGAGGAAGGCGGAACCTTCCCAGGGGAGCCCCAAGGCTTAGCTTGATCAGATAAGTGCCCTCTGATACAGGTGTCTCCTGCCAGGCTCACCAGACAAGTAGGAAATGCCAGAGTCTGGCTTTGCTAATGAGATCAGACACTGCCCATCACAGGAGAACCGATGCCCCGACTGGCAGGAGCTGCTCATCGCCTGCATTCCCCTGCCTCTGGAGGATTTTTGCCAAGGCTCCATGTGCCATAGGGCAGGGCAAATGCTTTCCTGGCAAAGGAGGGTGTAGTCCGAAGGGAGGACTGGAGCCAAAGCCCCTCCCTCCCTGGCTCTATAATTGCTCTGGCATTTCCCCAGGGTGCTGGCCTCCCACTTCTCCCCAGCCCAGTTACCTTCCTGGCATAGAAGCAGCGAGGGGGAAGGTTCCTAGCAGCCTGGCTGTCAGCACCGCTTTCCCTCCATTGTGTTGCCCTCGCTGGGATTCGCTCAGAGGAGACTGCTCTGAGCAGATCGCAGGCAAGGCGGCGGTAACGCTAGAAGCCCAGGCCCAGAGAGAGTGGGAGCCTCATTACTATTTCATAATCCTGGGCTGATCACTCCCAGAGAACAATGAACAACACGAAGCCCTCTGTGAACATGAAACCAGCTGGCACCCCATGCTGGGATGCAGCGTCACACTCCCCCACTAGCAGCAGAGTAAGGAGCCGGCAGGTGACACACCTGGCCCACAGTGCATTGCTAAAGTGAGTTTGGCACTGATGAAATGTGTCTGATCAACAGCCCGGGAGACCAAAGTCTTCTATACCTCAGACATGTATTGCAGGGACAGCTGCAGCGTGAGCCTCACTGGCACCAGTTCTCACTAATGCATCTCGCCCTGACCTGGGGACGAGAGGAGAGTTTGGTCTCCATGGTCTGTTCTGACCTTGGCTTCTCTACTGAGACTAATCAGCAAGGGGACCAATCAGGGTCAGTTGTGATGTGGGTGCCAGAGGCCATCAGACCTTCAGTCCCTACTAACTTGGGCTGATTCAAGCAGTGACAAGGTGAAAGGCTCAGTATCCTTTCCCCATCCTGCACCAATGGCTTTCCTCAAAAGGAAGATTTTAAACATACGGCAGCACCCCCCACTATTACACACGCATCGCTTTAAGCCTACAACTCCATCCTGATGTGTATCGGCTCTGCTATTCCAATCCCACCTTTCCCCCATACACATTATTCACCGATGCCTCTCAGTCCTGACCTGCCACACCCCTCTGCTACTCCAGCCCTGAGACTCCCCACGCAGCACTGCCAATGCATCTCAACCCTCACTTCCAGCCCTCTCCAGGTAGTACAGCACTAGTCCCCTCTTTGATCAGGGCACAGAATTCATCAGAGCACTAGGGAGTAATTAAATGATGGATTCTGTGCACAGAGGAAATTTCAGTCCCCTCTCCCTCCCCCCCCCAGTGAAATCCAAAAAGCCTCATAGAGCGGCAGTGTTGAGAATTTGCATCTACTCAGCTCAGACAGTCACAGCCCAAAACAATGGAGCCTCTCATGAAATATTCATAGCCCTCCAGGTCACATGAAAAGCTCACCTGGTTGCTGGGCTGGTGGTGAGCAGCAACTGCCCGAAAACAATTCTGGCATCGGCTCTTGGCAAACACATTGGCCTCAAAGTTCTCACAGGGGGCATGCTCTACAAAATCTGACATAGCCCATGCCAGGGGAAAGACGTTTCCTCAGGTGTGCTGCCTTAGGGAGGTAACTGCAAAGAAAAGAAGCAATAAAGGATCAAGAGACAAGACACTTCAATACCTAGGTATTCGGCTCATTTAGAAGGAGGAACTTTATTAACAGCCTGGTGTTCACTGCCCCCAGTAGGGAATGTTTTAATCTTGGGTTCCTTAGAAGGAGAAATACCATCAATATGCCAGTGTTGGCAGCCAGGGAATGTTCTTATCTAGAGCTCTTTTAGGAGGGGAAACTACATCACCATCTCAGCGATTGCTGGCAGAATGGCCTGATTTGAGTCTTCTTTAAAAGGGATGGAATATATTAATACCTTCCAGCAGATGTCCTGATCTGGGGCTCCATTTGCAAGTGCTTTAGGAGCTTTAGAAACCTGCTTAGCCTTTTCCTGAGCTAATCTATTCAGATCGGGTGGGATATTTACTAGCTATAATGCACCAAAAGTGCACTTCCAAAGCTGGTCCTAGGAGCCATGCTTTACTTCCAAAGACTGCCTGGCTCACCATGGGCTGGGATATTCGAGCTGCCATATATCGTCCCCTTCAGGGGTACTTTTCCTGTGGAGCATCTTACCCAGTTGCTACTCCGCAAAAACTGTCTGTCAAAGCCAGCCAGCTGAGCAAGATCCCTCGCGCTATCCTGCAGCTTCTCCTCTCATCCTCAGAACTTAGAGCAGTGCTGCTGACCAGAGGTTTAATTTTCTCTCCAAAGCACCCAAACTAAAATAAGATACGGTTTTCTTAGGGTAACTGTTGCACTAATTCACTGCGGGTGCCAGGTAAATCACACACAATATCCACTTCTTAGCCCCACAGGTTCACTCCCCAAACTAGCGCTACCGGTACATGTTTTTTCAGCTTGTTTAATCACCATGCCGTGTGTTTAGAATTGCCATGCACAGAGATTTGTTTGGAAGGGCAGGAAGAGAAAAAAAACTCCCAATTCCAGGTCATGGATAAAACCATTTTTTTTCCCCTGGGATTTTGCAGATTGCGACGAATCATCTCTCTGGGCCTGAGGCAGCCCATCTGTAAATGGGGGATGCTACCCACCCTTTGTGAAGCACTTGGAGATCACTAGCAAAAATAGCTCAACATAAAGGGCTGTGATTATTAATACAGAAAATAAAAACAATCACTTCAGAATAGCGTAACACACTCACCCTCTAGTAGAGGGATATATTCTAAACCAACCTTCCCCTGTCCCTGTCCCTGTCCACACCCCCTCGGCACTTCTGTTACCTTGCACCAGCTCAGGCCCGGCTCCAGCTCATCTGCCGCTGCCTTTTTTTAAAAAACGATGAATGTAAACTTTCCCTGGGAAGTGGAGGAAGGCCACGCCCAGGAGACTCTTTTTGGTTGGCTGTTGGGAGGCAGCTCATTTGGATACGGCTCCCGTAGTGGCTCCCCTTTGCTGCTGTTATAACTTTGAGTGGGAAGGATTTGACTTCTGTTCTGTGCCTGGGTTTTGTAACC